CAAAAGCAGAACTTTTGAAATATAATCAGAAAATGTAATATATCTATATAAGAAATCAGAAAAAAACGACAAGAATCAATACAATCATCATTTTAAAACTAGCCTCTAACTTTAACTGTTAATTAGTTTTTTTATATTATGGAATTAAATCTGTTATTTTAAAAATGTGCATCGTTTGTCATTTTATCCCCTTTTTTAATTCTTAAATCTCAAATATTCAAATGATGATCCATGACGCGCATTTTACGCACGGCTCAGTGGCAGACCCTCTGTGGGACCACACAGTGACCGACCGCTGTGCGCTGCGGGCTCGGCCGCCTGTTGTCAGCAGCAGATCCTCACAGGAGAAACGAGAAAGAAAAAAAGAAGAAAAAAGAAAAAGAGCTGCAGGTCTCACAGCGCAGAGAGCGCGGACACATGCAGTCCCGGGACAATGTGCTGAATTGGCAGCCTATATATAAGTCTGCCATTTGGACACTCTAATGCCCCTTTACCTTATGAGGGAACTTCAACCCGCAGCACCTGCTCAAAACAAAATGCCATAGGAGATCAACTTCAACGACCCCCCACCCCCTGCCTCCTGCTCGGATTGTTTTTCAGACAGACACTCTCACTTGCAGGAGAAGAGAGGAGAGTGGGGTGGTCTATAAATTGTTCTGCCACAGTCCAAACAATTAAAAAACTTGTTGGAAATTGTGATTTACTGCGTAAAGGCCGCGGCACGGCAGGTCCAAACTGGTAACGGGAGGATCTGTCAAGCTGCGGCAATTACAACTGCGAACAGAGGAGAGATTTGATGTGCAAACAAAAAATGTGGATGCGTTAAACAATTAGGCTGATGCATCCTCTCTGACAAACACAGCGAGGGATTGAGATACAGGCCAATGTCTCCGAAATCACTGAGACAATTATCCGGACTTTGCGTTTTCTCTTTCAAACTCATTTTTACCACGTGAGTGTCATCTCTCCTCGCTCTGTTTAAAAGCTCCTTATCTGCAGGCGAGCAGCGGCTTATCTCGGAGGTGTAGTGTGGCTCTTAATTCGGGGAACACCCTGAAGTGACTCTATCAGTCTCAGCCAGACCGTTGTCGTGTGCCTTGTCCTCCCGTACCCCCGGTCACATCCTCACCGTGAACCCGGGGGAGCAAACTGATTGTCCGGGCTGCAGCGGGCTCCTCAGGCCCGGGGTAAAGAAACTGTGGCCCATGCACGCATGGCTCAAGTTCACTGCACACCCGCAAATTCACTTCAGCAGCTCCGTCTATCACTCTGTCTCTCAGGCTGCGCAGCTGACAGCTTTTATCGACCAGAAAGTGAAGACGCACGGTGCAAACTGTTTTGAACGATGGCACATGAAGAGAGGCAGTGGTGAAGGTAAAGGATAGAAACTTACAGAAGGATTTCTTTACTCCGTGCTGGGACTCTGCACTGTTTCCCCCAGTATTGTCTCCCCCGTGGATCCGCGCGTCAGGACTCCGGGTCTATTTTAACGCATGACTCACGCATTCTTGCAGGGTCAGTCCCCGTGAACTCCAGGGGTGGGAAAGTTAACTCGGGCCCTAAAGACGCCCCCTCTTCCTCCCGCTGTTGTACCCTCTCTATTTCTATTTTCTCCTCGATTGTATTCCAGTGTACATGTGAATGGGTGTGTGGGGGGTGGGGGGCACAGACGGAGAAATGTGCGTCTCTGGAGGAGCTGAGGAAGCGCACGGCGACCACAGAGGACCGTGATTCTGGGCAGAAGGCTACCGCTGTGTGGCCGAAGGGAAAACTACCGAACACCATCACCACACACACTCACCCTCTCTCTCTCTCACACACACACACACACACACACAGACACACACACACACACACGCAAATGGAACTTATTTAAACAAGTTTTTAATGACTGTATGCACTGCTTATTTGCTTCACAGACTCTTTCCTCGGGTATCCTAAATGTTTTCTGAGATGATTGAACCGTTTCCTGGGGCCACACAACCGCTGGACCACTTCTGTTATTAACGCACGACAGGGATGTGTGGGAGGATGAACCCCGATTAAACGCAGGATTACCCTCTGCTTTCCTTTTTCATAATAAACTCCTTAACTGCATCTTTATATGTCTGAAATTAATCCTGAAAACATTTTATATAGGGTTCATGGTTAAAAAGCTTCAACTTGAAGGAGGTGACAATTAATTAATGAACAAAATCAGATTGATGTTCATATCTGTGTGCTTTTCAGTAACAGAGATTAAATGTTTGAATGATATTCCTTATAATGTTTCTAGCATAAACTCTAAAATGAGAAGAAGTGAACATTTAAAAAATGTTCTTTATAAATATGTAATTCAGTTTCAAACCTGTCCACCACATGGTTTCTGAGTGCCTTTCACGTGTA